TGGTATATTTTGTAATTGTGAGTTGATGAGATGCTGTGATATATTTTATACTTGTGTGTTGATGGTGTGGTATATTTTGTGCTTGAATGTTTATTTTATCTTTGCGGTATATTTTGTACTTGTGTGTTGATGCTGTGGTATATTTTGTACTTGTGTGTTGATGTTGTGGTATATTTTGTACTTGTATGTTGATGCTGTGTTATATGTTGTTCTTGTGTGTTGATGCTGTGGTATATTTTGTACTTGTGTGTTGATGCTGTGGTATATTTTGTACTTGTGTGTTGATGCTGTGGTATATTTTGTACTTGTGTGTTGATGCTGTGGTATATTTTGTACTTGTGTGTTGATGCTGTGGTATATTTTGTACTTGTGTGTTGATGCTGTGGTATATTTTGTACTTGTGTGTTGATGCTGTGGTATATTTTGTACTTGTGTGTTGATGCTGTGGTATATTTTGTACTTGTGTGTTGATGCTGTGGTATATTTTGTACTTGTGTGTTGATGCTGTGGTATATTTTGTACTTGTGTGTTGATGCTGTGGTATATTTTGTACTTGTGTGTTGATGCTGTGGTATATTTTGTACTTGTGTGTTGATGCTGTGGTATATTTTGTACTTGTGTGTTGATGCTGTGGTATATTTTGTACTTGTGTGTTGATGCTGTGGTATATTTTGTACTTGTGTGTTGATGCTGTGGTATATTTTGTACTTGTGTGTTGATGCTGTGGTATATTTTGTACTTGTGTGTTGATGCTGTGGTATATTTTGTACTTGTGTGTTGATGCTGTGGTATATTTTGTACTTGTGTGTTGATGCTGTGGTATATTTTGTACTTGTGTGTTGATGCTGTGGTATATTTTGTACTTGTGTGTTGATGCTGTGGTATATTTTGTACTTGTGTGTTGATGCTGTGGTATATTTTGTACTTGTGTGTTGATGCTGTGGTATATTTTGTACTTGTGTGTTGATGCTGTGGTATATTTTGTACTTGTGTGTTGATGCTGTGGTATATTTTGTACTTGTGTGTTGATGCTGTGGTATATTTTGTACTTGTGTGTTGATGCTGTGGTATATTTTGTACTTGTGTGTTGATGCTGTGGTATATTTTGTACTTGTGTGTTGATGCTGTGGTATATTTTGTACTTGTGTGTTGATGCTGTGGTATATTTTGTACTTGTGTGTTGATGCTGTGGTATATTTTGTACTTGTGTGTTGATGCTGTGGTATATTTTGTACTTGTGTGTTGATGCTGTGGTATATTTTGTACTTGTGTGTTGATGCTGTGGTATATTTTGTACTTGTGTGTTGATGCTGTGGTATATTTTGTACTTGTGTGTTGATGCTGTGGTATATTTTGTACTTGTGTGTTGATGTTGTGGTATATTTTGTACTTGTGTGTTGATGCTGTGGTATATGTTGTGCTTGTGTGATGATGCTGTGGTATATTTTGTACTTGTGTGTTGATGATGTAGTATATGTTGTACTTGTGTGTTGATGCTGTGGTATAGTTGGTACTTGTGTTTTGATGCTGTGGTATATTTTGTACTTGTGTGTTGATTTTGTGGTATATTTCGTACTTGTGTGTTGATTTTGTGGTATATTTCGTACTTGTGTGTTGATTTTGTGGTATATTTCGTACTTGTGTGTTGATTTTGTGGTATATTCTGTACTTGTGTGTTGATGCTGTGGAATATTTTGTACTTGTGTGTTGATTTTGTGGTATATTCTGTACTTGTGTGTTGATGCTGTGGAATATTTTGTACTTGTGTGTTGATTTTGTGGTATATTTTGTACTTGTGTGTTGATGCTGTGGTATATTTTGTACTTGTGTGTTGATGCTGTGGTTTACTTTGTGCTTGTGTGATGATGCTGTGGTATATTTCGTACTTGTGTGTTGATTTTGTGGTATATTTTGTACTTGTGTGTTGATGCTGTGGTATATTTTGTACTTGTGTGTTGATAATGTGGTATATGTTGTGCTTGTGTGTTGATGCTGTGGTATATTTTGTACTTGTGTGTTGATGCTGTGGTATATTTTGTACTTGTGTGTTGATGCTGTGGTATATTTTGTACTTGTGTGTTGATGCTGTGGTATATTTTGTACTTGTGTGTTGATGCTGTGGTATATTTTGTACTTGTGTGTTGATGCTGTGGTATATTTTGTACTTGTGTGTTGATGCTGTGGTATATTTTGTACTTGTGTGTTGATGCTGTGGTATATTTTGTACTTGTGTGTTGATGCTGTGGTATATTTTGTACTTGTGTGTTGATGCTGTGGTATATTTTGTACTTGTGTGTTGATGCTGTGGTATATTTTGTACTTGTGTGTTGATGCTGTGGTATATTTTGTACTTGTGTGTTGATGCTGTGGTATATTTTGTACTTGTGTGTTGATGCTGTGGTATATTTTGTACTTGTGTGTTGATGCTGTGGTATATTTTGTACTTGTGTGTTGATGCTGTGGTATATTTTGTACTTGTGTGTTGATGCTGTGGTATATTTTGTACTTGTGTGTTGATGATGTGGTATATTTTGTACTTGTGTGTTGATGCTGTGGTATATTTTGTACTTGTGTGTTGATGCTGTGGAATATTTTGTACTTTTGTGTTGATGCTGTGGTATATTTTGTACTTTTGTGTTGATTTTGTGGTATATTTTGTACTTGTGTGTTGATGCTGTGGTATATGTTGTACTTGTGTGTTGATGCTGTGGTATATTTTGTACTTGTGTGTTGATTTTGTGGTATATTTTGTACTTGTGTGTTGATGATGTGGTATATTTTCTACTTGTGTGTTGATGCTGTGGAATATTTTGTACTTGTGTGTTGATGTTGTGGTATATTTTGTACTTGTGTGTTGATGATGTGGAATATTTTCTACTTGTGTGTTGATGCTGTGGAATATTTTGTACTTTGTGGTATATGTTGTTCTTGTGTGTTGATGCTGTGGTATATATTGTACTTGTGTGTTGATGCTGTGGAATATTTTGTACTTTGTGGTATATGTTGTTCTTGTGTGTTGATGCTGTGGTATATTTTGCACTTGTGTGTTGATGCTGTGGTATATTTTGTACTTGTGTGTTGATGTTGTGGTATATTTTGTACTTGTGTGTTGATAATGTGGTATATGTTGTACTTGTGTGTTGATGCTGTGGTATATTTTGCACTTGTGTGTTGATGCCGTGGTATATTTTGTACTTGTGTGTTGATGCTGTGATATATTATATATTTGTGTTGATGCTATGGTATATATTGTACTTGTGTGTTGATGCTGTGGTATATTTTGTACTTTTGTGTTGATGCTGTGGTATATGTTGTACTTGTGTGTTGATGCTATGGTATATTTTGTACTTGTGTGTTGATGCTGTGGTGTAAAATGGTGAAGTTAAACAGTTACGCGTCGCCACAGAGCTGGGCGTGTTTAGGTAATTAAGATATGGTGTTTAGGGGTGACGTAAGTTGGAAACCTTCTCTCCATTCTGAACTCGCAATTAGTCCAGTGTGTTAGCCCCCAAGGGCTTGGTCATTTCCGTATCGGAGAAGGCCGCCATTAATTACGTGGTCAGACTACACAGACCACCTTCCTCTGCACCAACGTCAATTATCTCCATTACATAGGTAAATCTAGATCTGGAGTCCGTCAATTGACGGAATAATCACACTCGAAAATTTAACACGTGACCCAGGAATCTAAATGACCAGCGTAATAGCTACAAAAAATAACTAGATTTGTATCAAATACAATTACATGTATGTATGATTAACAATGGAAAGAACGCACACATACATGTATTCAGTTTAAGAAATCAGAAACTTTACCGCTCTGTGTTAGTGCTTCTATATATATTGTCTTGTAGGTTATGTGTGATAAAATAGAAATAGCTGTGGAGTAATACTCTCTAAATCTTTAAACGATTATAGAAGGTAAAGAGTACCAGCGTAATGGGTTATGGCTTCGACAGGGAAAGAGATTTATTTTTTAATATATTTGCTGGCATCATCTCCTATGCACAAAAAATATCAATTAATTACACACAATACAACTTTGTGTAAGGTGATGTGAAATATCCATCGTAAATTAATATTTTTGCGCAGAAACGAGCATCTCTGTCACGGGAATGGAGGCACGATAGTCTAGTGGTATGACGCCGGGCTCGTGACCGAAGGGTTGCGAGTTCAAGTCACGTCCCGATACTGTGTTGTATCCTTGAGCAAGATACTTTACTATGCTTGTTCCAGTCTACTCAGCTGTAAATGAGTACGTGGTTGGGCAGTGCTAGAATGGTTGAATGCTAGCAGGGAGTTGAGAAAGATATTGGCTGGTTGTAAAGGCCCTATAACCACGGATAATAATTTGTGAACCGCTTTGAGAAGAACTAAGAACTAGGTTGTGATAAAGCGGTATATAGGAACCTTGAATTATTATTATTATTAATTTTATACCCGAACCTTTTGACCATAGACCAAGGAGCTTATCCACTACGTGTCCAGTCATGACGTATACTGCTGTTATACTTTTACTTCCACCTTAAATGAATAATTCAAAAGGATACCTGCAACAAAATGCATAGAAAAGAACAGTATCTTTAATTCCGATGTATATCTGGTGTGATATGAAGTAGATGTTTGTCTAAGTATGTTCGTTAGAACCTTGTGGTTTTCTCGTTCCTACCGGAGTTCTCGATGTAAGGACGTGTCATTACTTAGATTTACATGACGGGTGTTGTCGATGAAGCAGAAGACTCTTAACCTTCCGGAACACCTGGTCTTATTTTCTTTGTACATTTTCTTCTTGCTAGTATTTCCTTTGTTCATATTTTGCCCCAGTTTTATCATTCCTAAGTTTTAACTATTGTTCGATGATACCTCGTTATTCTCTTGTTGTGTGCGAACACCATTTGTTTTTGAAAATCATGTAGGATATGCATCATTTTTTATCAAACATATAATATGAATGTTAATTGGATACTGGAGATTATGTCCAAGCTAGTGGATAGATATACCTGTGAAATGTCATCTTTGTTTGCACTGCCATCAAACGTCATAGGCGGAAACTCAAACATCACATGGTCCTCCTCACTCCCATCGGAATCAGACGTCGTGCTGTAAGTAATAAATAATAATTAATAATAATTCGAGGTTCTTATATGCTGATTTACCACAACCTAGTTCGTAGTTCGTCTCAAAGCGGTTCACAAATTATCATCCGTGGTTATAGGGCCTTTGCAACCAGCCAATATCTTTCTCAACTCCCTAAGGAGCATACAGCCGGTGCTGCCATTTAGGCACTCACAGCTAGCTAGCATTCAACAGTTCTAGCGCTGCCCAACCACGTACTCATTTACAGCTGAGTAGACTGGAACAAGCGGAGTAAAGTATCTTGCTCAAGGATACAACAAAGTGCTGTGACGTTACTCGAACCCTTCGGTCACGAGCCCGGCGTCCTACCACTACACTATACAGTACCTCCTATACACTGTACATAGAGATCTTATTGATAGTTATAATAATACCGTTTACCTTTGAAGCATATATAGTTGTTAACCTTTGTATTATGGTCACCTGTGTAGTTCGTTTTTATGAATCTATGTACGTGTCCCTGTTGTGTTGTATATATTGACATAATGCTGATCCTTACCTGTGTATTATTGCTGGGTAACCCCCATCGGTCTCGATATCCTTTGTAGAACAGTAGTGAATGCTTCCCTGTAGTAGTATCTGCTTGGTCAAGAAATGATTGTCTGATACAATTGTATGAACTTGACGCAAATTCAATACTCCACTAAAATCTTCTACAACTGTATCGACTCTCACGAAATCTAATGGTACGTAACCCAAGTACACGCTTATGAACTATTATACATACTCAAAACACGTGTAGAATCTCTGATGTGAATTTTGTAGAATTTGCTATTGAATTTTATTCGGTTAAAAGAATTACGTCAAAAAACACCTGGTAATATCTACACAATAGACAAAGGATACTCCGATGTGGATTCCGGCAACTCCCATTCTAAAAAATACAAGTATACTGCATTGAGACAAATACGTGTTTTTTTTATTTACAATGCATTCTAATTTGTAACGACCAAGCTGGTAACGATATACTTAATCGACGACGATGGAAAGTATTGTGTGTTATCTACCGCATGGTGGTTTATTTGGTTGCTTATTTGAGCCCCTACATAACCAGCGTCCCCTTGTGTCCTCTTGTGAGGTAACACTGGAGACCAAATATGATCCGCAAGACCTCATTAATTAGTACCATCTATTTTAAACCTGTATACCATTTCCCAAAACTGCAATATTTTACCAATTTTCTTTGTGTCGATTGGTCGTTAAGACTGAACAATAAATACACATTTGAGAGAACATCCTATGCATATAATTTACCTGGCTAGGGTCCAGGGAAGCGAGTGTAGAATGAAGACACGTGATTGGTTGTAGTATAAGACGCCTGTGACGTAAAATCCCTCAGACAAGATGGCGACAAAGTGAAGGAAGACCCGGATGTAGGTGTATGAATACGGTCGATACTACTAAATAGAAAGTAATACAAATATAGATCATTTTCAGGATCAAACAACTAACTTAGCCAATCCCTATCAGCAAGTGTTCCATACACAGTTAACTTAGCCAATCTTAGCCAATCAGCAGGTGTTTCATACACAACTAACTTAGCCAATCAGCAAGTGTGTCATACACAACTAACTTAGCCAATCAGCAAGCGTTTCGTACACAATTAACTTAACCAATCTGCAAGTGTTTCATACACAACTAACTTAGCCAATCAGCAAGTGTGTCATACACAACTAACTTAGCAAATCAGCAAGCGTTTCGTACACAATTAGCTTAACCAATCAGCAAGTGTTTCATACACAACTAACTTAGCCAATAAGCAAGTGTGTCATACACAACTAACTTAGCAAATCAGCAAGCGTTTCGTACACAATTAACTTAACCAATCAGCAAGTGTTTCATACACAACTACCTTAGCCAATAAGCAAGTGTGTCATACACAACTAACTTAGCCAATCAGCAAGTGTGTCATACACAATGAACTTAGCCAATCAGCAAGTGTTTCACAATCAACTAACTTAGTCGATCAGTAAGTGTTTCGTACACTACTAACTTAGCCAATCAGCAAGTGTTTCACACACAACTAACTTAGCCAATCAGCAAGTGTGTCATACACAACTAACTTAGCCAATTAGCAAGTGTTTCACACACAACTAACTTAGCCAATCAGCAAATGTTTCACACAAAACTAACTTAGCCAATCAGCAAGTGTTTCATACGCAACTAACTAAGCCAATCAGCAAGTGTTTCATACACAACTAACTAAGCCAATCAGCAAGTGTTTCATACACAACTAACTTAGCTAATCAACAAGTGTGTCATAAACAACTACATATAACTTAGCAAATCAGCAAGCGTTTCGTACACAATTAACTTAACCAATCAGCAAGTGTTTCACACACAACTAACTTAGCCAAGCAGCAAATGTTTCACACAAAACTAACTTAGCCAATCAGCAAGGGTTTCATACACAACTAACTTAGCCAATCAGCAAGTGTTTCCTACACAACTAACTTAGCCAATCTTAGCCAATCTGCAAGTGTTTCATACACAACTAACTTAGCTAATCAACAAGTGTGTCATACACAACTACATATAACTTAGCAAATCAGCAAGCGTTTCGTACACAATTAACTTAACCAATCAGCAAGTGTTTCACACACAACTAACTTAGCCAATCAGCAAGTGTTTCACACACAACTAACTTAGCCAATCAGCAAGTGTTTCATACACAACTAACTTAGCCAATCAGCAAGTGTTTCACACACAACTAACTTAGCCAATCAGCAAGTGTTTCATACACAACTAACTTAGCCAATCAGCAAGTGTTTCACACACAACTAACTTAGCCAATCAGCAAGTGTTTCATACACAACTAACTTAGCCAATCAGCAAGTGTTTCACACACAACTAACTTAGCCAATCAGCAAGTGTTTCATACACAACTAACTTAGCCAATCAGCAAGTGTTTCACACACAACTAACTTAGCCAATCAGCAAGTGTTTCATACACAACTAACTTAGCCAATCAGCAAGTGTTTCACACACAACTAACTTAGCCAATCAGCAAGTGTTTCATACACAACTAACTTAGCCAATCAGCAAGTGTTTCACACACAACTAACTTAGCCAATCAGCAAGTGTTTCATACACAACTAACTTAGCCAATCAGCAAGTGTTTCACACACAACTAACTTAGCCAATCAGCAAGTGTTTCATACACAACTAACTTAGCCAATCAGCAAGTGTTTCACACACAACTAACTTAGCCAATCAGCAAGTGTTTCATACACAACTAACTTAGCCAATCAGCAAGTGTTTCACACACAACTAACTTAGCCAATCAGCAAGTGTTTCATACACAACTAACTTAGCCAATCAGCAAGTGTTTCACACACAACTAACTTAGCCAATCAGCAAGTGTTTCATACACAACTAACTTAGCCAATCAGCAAGTGTTTCACACACAACTAACTTAGCCAATCAGCAAGTGTTTCATACACAACTAACTTAGCCAATCAGCAAGTGTTTCACACACAACTAACTTAGCCAATCAGCAAGTGTTTCATACACAACTAACTTAGCCAATCAGCAAGTGTTTCACACACAACTAACTTAGCCAATCAGCAAGTGTTTCACACACAACTAACTTAGCCAATCAGCAAGTGTTTCATACACAACTAACTTAGCCAATCAGCAAGTGTTTCACACACAACTAACTTAGCCAATCAGCAAGTGTTTCATACACAACTAACTTAGCCAATCAGCAAGTGTTTCACACACAACTAACTTAGCCAATCAGCAAGTGTTTCATACACAACTAACTTAGCCAATCAGCAAGTGTTTCACACACAACTAACTTAGCCAATCAGCAAGTGTTTCATACACAACTAACTTAGCCAATCAGCAAGTGTTTCACACACAACTAACTTAGCCAATCAGCAAGTGTTTCATACACAACTAACTTAGCCAATCAGCAAGTGTTTCACACACAACTAACTTAGCCAATCAGCAAGTGTTTCATACACAACTAACTTAGCCAATCAGCAAGTGTTTCACACACAACTAACTTAGCCAATCAGCAAGTGTTTCATACACAACTAACTTAGCCAATCAGCAAGTGTTTCACACACAACTAACTTAGCCAATCAGCAAGTGTTTCATACACAACTAACTTAGCCAATCAGCAAGTGTTTCACACACAACTAACTTAGCCAATCAGCAAGTGTTTCATACACAACTAACTTAGCCAATCAGCAAGTGTTTCACACACAACTAACTTAGCCAATCAGCAAGTGTTTCATACACAACTAACTTAGCCAATCAGCAAGTGTTTCACACACAACTAACTTAGCCAATCAGCAAGTGTTTCATACACAACTAACTTAGCCAATCAGCAAGTGTTTCACACACAACTAACTTAGCCAATCAGCAAGTGTTTCATACACAACTAACTTAGCCAATCAGCAAGTGTTTCACACACAACTAACTTAGCCAATCAGCAAGTGTTTCATACACAACTAACTTAGCCAATCAGCAAGTGTTTCACACACAACTAACTTAGCCAATCAGCAAGTGTTTCATACACAACTAACTTAGCCAATCAGCAAGTGTTTCACACACAACTAACTTAGCCAATCAGCAAGTGTTTCATACACAACTAACTTAGCCAATCAGCAAGTGTTTCATACACAACTAACTTAGCCAATCAGCAAGTGTTTCACACACAACTAACTTAGCCAATCAGCAAGTGTGTCATACACAACTAACTTAGCCAATCAGCAAGTGTTTCACAAACAACTAACTTAGCCAATTAGCAAGTGTTTCACACAAAACTAACTTAGCCAATCAGCAAGTGTTTCATACACAACTAACTTAGCCAATCAGCAAGCGTTTCATACGATTATAGTCCCGACCTAAAATGTGTTCCGGTTTAATACAGTGCCTCTGAGTAATCTTAATGGGTAATTGTTGACATGTCTTACATTGAATGAAATCTACAGATATTAAACATTAAAAAATGTATACTCTTGGTTAATTTTGATATGTGATGGCGGATTGATTTGTGGTCTAAACTCAGGGGGTGTTCCCGTCCCACTTCACCGGTTTGGTTAATAAATTCCGGTTGTCAAAAGCAGACGTCTGTAGCGCTCTTATATGCCATTAAACCCGCCAAAATGCCTTTTGAAACCTTTGTCAGGTATGAATCTATGAATCTAGGCAGTTGTCACTAGTGTTGAGCTTCAAATAGAAAAGCTATTAGCTAAAAAGCTTAGAAATAGCATATAGTAAATGATTTAGCTGTGTGAGTCCTGATTTTTTACTGTATTAATTATTTTTAACATCTAAAAAGTACATCATGTAAATATATCAGTAATTATATACAAATGTTTACATAATTACTGTGGGAGGAAACCGGAGTACCCGGAGAAAACCCAAGTGGGCAGGCAGGTGACCCCATACTTTTTCATATCCGATAGGAGAATCGAACCCCGGCCGCCTTGGTGAAAGAAAAGTGCGTTATCCACTGCGCTACCCGACCACCCAAAGTTGATGTGGCTGACCGTATCATCAGCCGCTGTTATAGCATGTACACATTGTAGTTGAGGTAGATGTCGAAATTCTTTATAACTTTAAGAGTACCACTTATCATACAACAAAATATGTAATCTTAACTATACCAGAGGTTCATATTAGCATTATGAAGTTTGCCTTTTAAGTTTTCTTTTCCATTTTTTTTTATCATTTTTGCCAATTATTTGTACAGTGTGTTGAGCTATCCAGTCTAAAAAGAATACAGATGACACTAAATTTTACTGACTTACAAATTGTATGACCTCTCTGAATTTCGTCAGCCACGTAAGTCCGGCCGAGAGAGCTCCGAGACAATAACCCGTCAAGACATACAGACGGAGGGGCTATAAAGAGAATGCAGGAGGGTTATAATACTCTATCATGCTCAACGGTGTAAGATAGGGATATTGCACCCTCTGAATTTTCAAATTGCTGCAAACCCTCGAGCCTCAGGTTTTGCACCAATTTGAAAATCCCGAGGGTAACATCTTCCTATCATACACCCCAACAGATGAAAAAATGTTTTTTTCTCATTCCAGTCACTAAAACTATCCCAGAACCCCTGAATGCGTCGCATTTTCCGCTACATTAGATGTTCCAACTTCGTGACGTCATGTCATAATTGTCTCATTGTGACGTCACGCACATAAAGTGCAATTTAAGATAGAAAAGCTTCCAGTCCTTTCTTATCTCAGAGATGAAAGAAATGTTTTTCTACACTCTCAAACATGCAAGATTTACACGTGCCCCATGAGGATCTAATCTTTGCAGTACTCAAATGTTTGGGTCAACGGGAGAAGTATTTTGATATATCAATACGTGGCTATTAAATAAATGAAGAACAATGTTTGCAGAAAATATAGCAATTGTAGATTTGTAAAAATGACAATATCATACCCACCAACCCACACGTGTTCATCTAAAATCGCAGTGATTGTACGGGTGCGTTGCACGTAGCTATTTATTTCATGAAGGCTTTGGTGCAATTTCCGAGGGTTTTGCCAAATTTTGTAATCCCGAGGTTGGAATTTCCCTATCCTGCACTATTGAGAAAAAAGGAGTATTTTTCTCTCATTCCAACTACCAGAATAAGCTCAGAAACCATGAAAATGCGTTTGGACTGGCTACCATTTTGAAAATATCAATTTTCCCCTGATATTTATTAAACGAAAACGAACCTAAAACCCGTCAAAACAGCTGCTCTTCTAGTAAAGTTGTTAACTGTCCGCTTCTCATTTGCATATGAAGCCCGGATGGCAATTGTTAGTGACTTCAATGACCCTGACTGACCCCAAAACGTCATAAAATGACGTCACGAACAATAGCGTGACCCCGAAAGGTCACCATAATTCCCACGCAAGTCTGCGCGTGAAAGCGATCTAGACCCGTGGGTCGGATAGAATTTTCCAGCACCGCCAGAAATGCGGTATCGTGGTCTAGTATGCAAGAAATACATTTCTTACCCCCCTCTCTTACCCTGCACAGCTCTATCTTACACACACGGAAATGAGAGAATATATCATTCATGCATACAATAAACTGTAGACCGCTTGCTCGCGGAAGTTCTTAATTGTCAAGGGGAGTAACTCGTGCGTCTCGTCTGATCTCTCAAATACAACAGATGTCGTTTGGACTGGTACAAGAGGCGAACAAGGAATAATGATTGACGATTTGCTCCTACACACAACGTTCCGCTACAGTATAACTGTTGCTTTGCTGCTATAGAACATACAATGTCGTGGTTAACTATTCAGTCTTACAAAAATACAGCTAACACCAATGGTATGCAAGACACAAACTCCATTTCCTATGAGGGGTACTGAGGAGAACATTCATTAGGATATAACCTTGAGCTGTGACCCTCTGTACGTATCCGGTATCAGGTCAATATTTGGGATTGATATGACCTCTGGTATAAAATTCAGTAGCTCCAGTACATCTTACAACGTACCGAGATAGTATTGTGACGCTGATCAAATGACATTGAGGTCGTTGCCAATGTACTTATCTCCGTGTTACATATTGACAGGTATCCATGGTACAAGTAAAAAAATAAATTTTGAAGTCAATGGAAAAAGGTTGAAAAAAGCAGCACCCAGTCTTTGATTTCAAATCGCTGAACATTCATCCCTGGGAGTCCGGGAGTTCGTTTTATAGGGATGGTGGAACCAGTTCAAAACAAATACTCTGAGAAAGGCCGTTCATGAACTGATTGGCTAATTTTTTTGGATTTCGTTTGAATAATTCCATATTTAAAATATAATAATCAAGTAAGTCATACATTTACCGAATATTCGAAGACTTATTTTTAATTCAAAGCAATGAAGTAAGCGAGGTACATGTACATGGAAGTACAGTAGTTTTACTTAGGGTGCGGGCCTAAAGGAAAACATGTCCGTCAAAGATTGGGCAGGCAAATTTGTGTTTAATTATGCTAGACTACTTTCTTATATGTCGAGTTTTAATTTAAGACCCGATGCTTCATAAATATTCAAGCAGCTTGTCTTAAAGTAAAGCTTGACATCTAAGCAACCATATTAAACTTAACCTGTTAACAGTTCTTGAATACTGCCTCATTTCCAATTTCAAGTTTCAGACTCCTTTGCATTTATTTAAGGATTAAACGGCATTTTTTTTCAATATCATGCTGGTATGAACCGACTTGCGCTCATAATGACATGAACATTAAGAAAATTCCGTTTGATCCTTATATAGACATTCTAAATTTTAAAGTAATTTTTAACCTTAATACAGATATTTCCTCATATTTTCGATATTGATTCGTTTATATCGTACGTGCAAACCAGATTCATTGGACAGCATAACGTCATTAAAATGTTTGCTCTTAACGGTAGTTTCATGTTATTAGAAGCGGGATCAGAAGCTTCAAAATGACGCCGATCCAATTGCGTTCATAGCCCTATGGACGCAATTTCTTTTGGTAATGCTTATAGAGAAACTTGCAATAGAAATGTTAATATACCGTGGTGAAAATTTATATAAATTTATCTAATGTACATTTTGTCTCTTGTATGTCGTGAGAAAGGACTGGTGCTCCAATCATTCGACTTCATTTTGTCCACGCTGTCGACATCGTCTAGTGTTCTAGTACATATTGTACAAAACGTTAAAGCTTTCACGCAGTTTAACATGTAATATCATCAACACTGATGTCACCACAGACAGCAGCAGATCAAATAGCCATCCGTCAGCCACGTGGACAGTCGCCTGTAGATATCTGATTATAATCCCACGTATAGGACATGTCTAACACTTGTTAAGCTCTTCCCTTATTTTTATTCAAGATAAAGAGATAAACGAGTTCACGGTTCACTCTCCCCCGCATACGTTCACACAGTACAGTAAAATATCGTTAGTCCGGTATGTACAGGTAAACCATGATAACCCGGTGTGTACAGGTAAATATCGCTAATCCGGTATATACAGATAAAACTTGATAACCCGGTGTGTACAGGTAAATATCGCTAATCCGGTATGTACAGATAAACCATGATAACCCGGTGTGTACAGGTAAATATTGCTAATCCGGTATGTACAGATAAACCTTGATAGCCCGATGTGTACAGGTAAATATCGCTAAACCGGAGTCAAGTGTACAAGTAAACCTTGATAACCCGGTGTGTACCGGTAAATATCTTTTAGTCCTGAGTGCACAGAAAAACCTTGATATCCCGTTATGTACCGGTTACTATCGCTAGTCCAAAATGTACAGGTAAACCTTGATAACCCGGTATGTACCGATTACTATCGCTAGTCCGGAGTGTACAGGAAAACCTTGATAACCCGTTATGTACCGGTTAATATCACTAGTCCGGAGTGTACGGGTAAACCTTGATAACCCGGTATGTACCGGTACATATCGCTAGTCCGGAGTGTACATGTAAACCTTTCTAGCCAATGGTACCGATTACTATCGCTAGTCCGAATTGTACAGATAAACCTTGATAATGCAGTATGTACCGGTAATTATTGTTAGTCCTGAGTGTACAGAAAAACCTTAATAACCGGGTATGTACCGGTTACTATCGCTAGTCCGAAGTGTACAGGTAAACCTTGATAAACCGGTGTGTACCCGTTACTATCGCTAGTCCGGGGGGTACAGGAAAACCTTGATAACCCGGTATGTAGCGGTTACTATCGCTAGTCCGAAGTGTACAGGTAAACCTTGATAACCCGGTGTGTACCGGTTACTATCGCTAGTCCGGAGTGTACAGGTAAACCTTGATAATCCAGTGTGTACCGGTAAATATTGCTAGTCCGAAGTGAACAGGTAAACAGTGAAAATGTCGCTAGTCCGGAGAGTACAGGTAACCTTGATAGCCCAATGTGTATAGGTAAATATCGCTAGTTCAGAGTTTACAGGTAAACACCTTGATGACTCGGTGTGTACATGGAAATATTGATACCCCTGTGTGTACCGGTGTATATCGCTAGTCCGAATTGTACAGGTAAACCTTGAAAATGCAGTATGTACCGGTAAATATTGTTAGTCCTGAGTGTACAGAAAAACCTTAATAACCCAGTGTATTGGTTACTATCGCTAGTCCGAAGAGTACAAGTAAACCTTGATAACCCAGTGTGTACCGGTAAATATGGCTAGTCCGAATTGAACAGGTAAACCTTGATAACCCGGTGTGTACCGGTAAATACCGCTAGACCGGAGTGTTCAGGTCAACCTTGATAACCCGGTATGTACCAGTTACTATCGCTAGTCCTAATTGTACAGGTAAACCTTGATAACCCAGTGTGTACCGGTAAATATTGCTAGTCCGAATTGTACAGGTAAACCTTGATAACCCAGTGTGTACCGGTAAATATCGCTAGTCCGAAATGTACAGAAAAACCATGATAGCCCAGTGTGTACCGGTAAATATCGCTAGTCCGATGTGTACAGGTAAACCTTGATAGCCCGGTGTGTACCGGTAAATATCGCTAGACCGGAGTGTTCAGGTAAACCTTTATAGCCCGGTGTGAACCGGTAAATATCGCCAGACCAGACTGTTCAGGTAAACCTTGATAACCCGGGTGTACCGGTAAATATCGCTAGTCCGGAGTGTTCAGGTAAACCTTGATAATCCAGTGTGTACGGAGTATAATAGGAGAATGTCGCAGGTTCAGACTATATTAGAGAACTTGTTCATTTATGTTGTCATTTGTTTACCCGCTGCAGATAAATGTATTATCAAATTATATTAACTTAGTCCTTTTTAAGTATATACCTGTGAGTGAATATTTCCTCCGTTGCTAGGCGTGTCGTGTCGTTTTACGGCTGACTTGTACCACGGCGTCTGTAGCATGGTAACAGTAACCAAGGAAACAGCGGAGAGAATGGACATGGCCGCGGTACACGAGGACTGTGTCATACAACAGTGTCGTAAACATTTGCAGTTGAACGTTGTCTCACCCATATCTGAAAAAACACGTTAACCATACCTCTTAAACATTAACCATTAAAAGATATTAGTGGTAATCTATTGCATAATGTTCCCCATTATGAAAAGCAATGTAAAAATATTAAACTGTTTCATGCCCACAGTGGCGGATCCAGAGACCTATCGGCCTCCTTTGAGCCTCAAACGACCAACTAGCCAGTTTATAGTCGCACAAGGGAGACCAAAAGGTCACCATCCTGTGTAAAGAGGGTATTAACGTTAAACAGAAACTAGCGCAAATCGCATTGAACAGAAAATGGGTCAATGTGCCACATTTCAGCCCCCCAATTGACAAGGTCTACAATTAACTTTATTGTTGAATGCATTTTCAGTATGTCTCATAGTTAGGTCCCCATTTTCCCCCCCAAGATATTTAGATATTCGATAAAAGAATGGACATGAGTGGCTTTCCAGGCTAAATTGCCGAATGGAAATACATTGTACCTATTTAGAATGAATATAGACGTTGGTACCTTAAATATAACTTAAATTTGATACACGTTCCGTGTTCAATTCTCATTATAAACAATATTTGGCTAGCCAACCTCTTATAATTTGTGTTGCTCTACTTCGTCCGCTTTGTGGCTGAGGCGCGTGTTCTATTATTAATGTCGATTACTGTTCTTCCACTGTCGGATCATTCTGCTGGAATATTGTGAGTTTGTCCTTACCCTTATCGCTACGACGAGTCCTTCTACTCGACAACATGGCCGGTACGATGGCGAGGAAATGAACACTGGCTGATGTAAGGGCGTAATACGTCTGAAACACAAACACGTCGTACTATGTCAGCTTAACCACATCAATACTAGATCTCAGTTAACAGAAGCGTTCAATCTCGGGCGTTCATTAATATCAGGTGTTTCAGGTATATTACCGGTTATCTTCTATTATGATTTCCTATCACATCTCTTTGGAATCAAATCGTAGGCATTTCTTCATTCCGACCCCACCATATACCAAGTTAACATTGTTAGTATCTAAACGAGTTTTATTTTACGTTTTAAACAGTCTAAGATATTTATCCTACATAATCAATAAAGTTTACATTAATTAAAACATTATATTGTAGTATAACATTGTAGTATAGCATTGAGTGATTACATTGCAGTATAACATTGTAGTTGAACGTTGTATAATACTGTAATATAACATTGTAGTATATCATTTAGTATAATACTGTAATATAACATTGTATAACATTGCATTATAACACTGTAGTGTAACATTGTAATAAAACATTGTATGATAATATTTCGGTACAGTATTGTAGTATTACTTTGTATTATAACATTGTATTATAAAACTGTAGTGTAACATTGTATTATGACATTGTATTATGACATTGTATTATAACATTGTATCATAACATTGTATTATAACATTGTATTATAACACTGTAGTGTAACACTGTAGTAAAACATTGTATGATAATATTTCGGTACAATATTGTAGTATTACATTGTATTATAACATTGTATTATAACATTGTATTATAAAACTGTAGTGTAACATTGTATTATGACATTGTATTATGACATTGTATTATAACATTGTATGCTAATATTTCGGTACAATATTGTAGTATTACATTGTACTGTAACACTGTACTATATATACCTGTAAGGGTAATTGATGCGTCATAATACAACCGAACAAACTGAGAACATCAGCTACCCAATGAAATACGACGATGCAGGTCACGTGACTTGTACCTGTTTTACTGGCTTTACCGTCCGGCTGACAATATATCAAATACAGACTGAAATAGAAGAAATACAATTTGTTGTAAGATACGAGATATAGCTGGTAGGCGCGGGTTCGAATCAAGAATCAAGGCGTCAGGGAAGGTGTATTTGAGACTTAACTATTATTACAGTGCTACTCAAATAATTTGTCGAGTTCACTGGACAAAGGGAAGCAACTTGTAGTGACAACAGTGAAATATTTCATTAACAGCGTAGCTAGGTAGCATGAAAATCACATCTGCTAAAATGCATGCAAAAAAGATTCCAGAAGAAAATATGAGTAATGAACAGCCCCGAGTGACGGACGTACCCGAATAACACGGACGTGCCCGAGTGACGAAAGTACCCGGATGGTGAACGTAAATGAACGACCTCGAGAGGCTAGATTCAGTTCACATTTTATTATGCAAATCACATTTATAAATTTTCTGATTAAAAATGATATATTTGAGAAGGTGATGTTAATGATTATCAATGTTGTTCAGTCAGATATTATTCCCGATATTATTTACTCTTGACAATGGTCAATGTTGATGGGAGATCAGGGAGGTTTTATTAACCAGAGAACACTTTTAACTATTATTTTCAGTTGTTCAAATTTCAATTCAAATAATTTAATCAGCAGTGATTTGAGTGTAAAATTCCGTATGACTAGCCTGGAGTTCTAGCCCCGAACTTCAGGCCGCAGTTGTTCAAATGTTGATTTACTTTAATCAGTGGTTAATGAAAAATTGTAATTGTTGCCAATATGAAGAAATTTGAAAACGAAATAAATCCTCCAGGTTTTGGTCTGTATGGCAGTAAAATGATGTAGGATGCTCTTGATTTTGCTGTACGCTTACTGCCCTTAACCGTTGATTAACTCTTACCACGTTAAAGTAACCCGGGCCAGATAGAGTGTCCTGGCCCAACTGAGCTAAACGTACATATGTACATGTATATCCAAAACGAAGTTAAGGGGAGGTTACTGTATATACGACAAAACACAGTGCATTTGGATAGGGATATTTAACGTATCATAAATATAATGGGGATTGATACAGGGTGGAAATTAGATTTCATCAAACCGTTACGCTGTGTCGCTAATGACGACTACGCACGCGAGCTGTGAAAAGGTCCACAGTGGGATACAGACAACTCCAAACACGACCCCTAGTCCCCCTGTGTCTCCCGAGGCGCAACCTCCAATTGTCTCCAAGGTCCATAGAACATCGTCTGTACAGTTACCGTATGACGTCATCATCTAGAATATATTACAAACAAGTTGTGTCATGAACAATGTATTCTAGGAGTAGGAAAGGTAATAACCGCTTCATGTAACCCCTTTTATATCGGAATATATGTTTTCGATTTAATTCCCGAAAATATTTGGGATTTTGTTTTTTCATATAATGCCCGACAAGTGATTGGCTAGAAGTGCATCACGTATCCACCGATAAAATCCGATATTGACTTGGAGCCAGTGATTTTTTTAGAAAGACTGAGTGTTTCTAAATATAGAATTATGACGTGTCTGCAAACGAACGCACCGTCCCACTTTCGTAGCTTGCTTACATCACTATTTTGAAAATAATAAAACAAATGTAGCCTTTAACTTCGGTTGATAACTGGAATTATCAACCGGAAAAGATATATTGATCTCGGACTGCGTCCTTGGTTAATATTTGCGTCCTCGATTAATATATGTTTTCTCGGGTTGATAATCCAGGTATCGACCTTAGCTAAAGGCTATAATTGAATAATATGGAAAGATCTTGCGATATTTGCGTTTTGATAAACTCGAGATAACGATAACTTCCAATTTTATTGTTTATCGTGCGTTTATATCCCCGTAAAAATCTAATATAAATCATATAATTGCCTAAAATACTGAGAACCTTAAGGAAGAAGTTAGGCCCCGATTTGTTTTTATTTTCACTCTCTCTTACGTCTGGGGTACTACTTAAAGGATGAATGCAGTTGGTTATTAACACCTAACAATATTTAGATCAGAGGGACCAAACTGACTGGTTGGTAAAAGTTAAGGTAAGATCAGGACTTCTTACTTTCAAGCGAATGAATACTGTAACTCTCAACCTACAGAATGACAGCCTACGGAGATAACAACCCATTTCCCTCACAATTCTTTGGTTTACTCTTTATTTGCTGTAGCATTCAAGTCAGGTGGTACTATAAATGATACCGTTGGAGCCACGGTTCCACCACAAACAGAACGCATACACACATAGGGAGATATTAGCCAGGTGGCATAGGACTAGTAATTAACGCCTGATAAGGAAGCTCCTGCGAATTCCTCAAAATTGTATTGATTAATCTCTAAATGCAAATATGTTTATTCAACATGGTTGACATTGTTGTTATCCATGTCTGCCATGTTATTCGTCATTTAATAAAATGACATTTACTGGACATATTTTATTCTTTGTTGTTCTTGATGTATATTTATCCAAAAAACTAGCTTCAGTCGTGATCGGATGATCGTGACGGAGATTTATAGCATAAATACAATTTATACCAATAAATACATTAATGTTGTAGATCGGAATATTGTATGTTTTAATCGTCTATATAATTACGAGTAAGATGTGAAGCTGAAAGATTCAGGGTCATACGGTTCGAAGTAAATCGAGTACACCCATACTGATTACATGTATATGTCAAGGCAATCAGCCAATCAGATATCCAGATTAACGTCATGTGATATTAACATAAAATTTACAAGGTGAAAGTATTGCTCGGAATTTCTTTGTCCCACATCCAACCCATGCAAATTTTAGCTTCACATTCTATTTTTAATTGGCGTATTCTCGTGCTCCACCTTTTTGATATATATTTAAGATATTGTTTATGTTTGTAAATATGTTTATGCAACATGGTTGACATTGTTGTTATCCATGTCTGCCATGTTATTCGTCATTTAATAAAATGACATTTACTGGACATATTTTATTCTTTGTTGTTCTTGATGTATATTTATCCAAAAAACTAGCTTCAGTCGTGATAGGATGATCGTGATGGAGATTTATAGCATAAATGCTATTTGTATTGATTGTATACATTGTATATCTATGTACTGTTAAGCGCTTTAGAGTGGCCTTTTCTAGCTACATAGGGCGCTATATTAAATCATTGTCAGGGGCGTAACAAACGGGTTTTCAATGTGTAAGCCCAACGATGAAGTGTGCTGCCGAAGGTAGCACCCCGAAGCGCGTAGCGCGAGGAGGGGGAGGGTATGGGAGGGGGTTTTCTGCCTCCCATTGGTGGGGGTCTGGGGGGTCTCCCCCAGGAGAATTTTGTTTTCTAGAACACATGAGACTCGTTCTCCCTTGTTCTGGCATCAGTTTTAATGGCCATTTTAAAGCAAGAAAATATCATTTTCCCCTATTATTTTACAAATATTTTGCTTCTTTTTGGGTACGAAGGGATTGGTACTCATCTACGCCAGTTCTATTATGGTGTTCGGTAACATTATTCCACGGAAAAGAAAATTCTAAAATTATGTGGATTTTGGGATACTTGTTGTAAGAGTGTGACGTTTCTCCTCGCGACTGTGACTCCGGTTGCGCAGAGATATGAGACTTGTATCACAAGCTAGCACTAGGAATAGTTTAACGTTATGTACATAAGAACCGATATACTGGTTACCATGCCGAACGAATATGCTACCCTCAGTGCTACATTTGTTAGAGACTTTGATTGCAACGAAGCATTTTAGTTGGCGGTCTTTATAGCAGATACAAAACATCTGTCATTGCTTTTTAATATTTTATATCATATAGTCTATGTTGCGTTTATTTTATTTTTATTTTGTCAAAAATGATGTGTAAGCCCGGGCTTTTTTGCTACATAGGTTGTTACGCGCCTGATTGTGTGTTATTATTATTATTATTTCATAAGGCTATTTCTAGTCATCATAATTACAGTAATTCAATTGAAAATCACCGTAATGAAAAGGACTGATTGTTTTTATTTCATTGCAAGTTCAACCTACCTCACACTTCTGTAAGGTTGTTCCAGAAAATAGAAACTGCTGATTGAGTTAATTTTGGGGATGTTTTAGTGCTTCGTTTTTTTAATTCTTTGCCTCGGTTATAGTCTATCATACAATAGGGGATTGTAGCATATCTTGTGTGTCGATCTAATAATGAATTAGCTACCACAGGGAACTATAACGTGATCTCTGCTTCCGGTTTATCAAATACTCTATCTACTTCATACCGTGATGCAGATAGTTTATTTGAGTCTCACCTTCCGCATACATATATACAACGATACAGTAAACTATACATAACAGATATGACGAAAGCCACTCTAAAAGAATTACGAGCGACTAAAATAGGTTAAATGCATGTAAAAGCACTTCACTTTAAAAGGCTATAAGAGAGAGAAGCTAATACATGCCATAACATTATATTGAAATTTCAAACTTCAATGTACAATAATCAATGATATATAACATTATTACGACGTTTAAGAATAGCTGCTAGAGCTTTGGCACTATATTTAGCACAGTTCTCATTTGATAAAACAAAGTGTAGCTTCTCCTCATAATTAAAATTCATAAAATCACTATCAGTTTCTATAGCTATATCATATCAAATATCACGTATATCATCAAAAACCGGACCTCTAGTAAGTGTGTGTTCCTCATCCTCTATATCTGGTCTACACAAAATCTACATGTTCTGTCCATCACGAGTAGGTTTTCATATCTTCCGGTTTCGAGGCGCAGTGGAGCTACCCCACATCTTAATTTAGCGAGTGCGCTACGTATACGTTGGCCTCCAGTAAGAGGCAACTTCACATATAGTTCACACATATTCGAAGCTTATTTTCTCATTCTACGTTGACCAATGGTTTCCGTAAAAGATGTAACCACTTTTTTTTTATAAATGTTCATCATAGCTTCCTGGATCATATTACATGCTTCGATTTTAGAATACCTCATCGCATCATGAACGTTGATGAGGTCAAGTTCCTTTAATGTTTTTAAAAATCTAAAATGCCAGTTCCTAAAACTCCGGTTCGAGATTATCCGACACCACTGGAAGACGCGATAATTGATACGTGAATTATCCATATTACTAAGCCTATACCAATGGGAAACCACACACTTCCATTGCCTTACTGTTGTTGGCTCCCAGGCCATCTCACCAGCCACTGCAGCAACACCCCAAAAGAAGCGTCCAGCCCGATTCTGCACGGCATTAGTACACGAATGATCCTGTGTTCCCCATATAGCCGCCCCATAACTTATGGTTGACCACACCATGGTATCGGAGAGTAGTATAAACGTTAATTATGGAAGCCCTCCGGCGGCTTTGAACCTAGAGATAAGTAAACCTAAAACACGGCTAGCGGATTGAGCTACACATTTGGCCGTTACCGCGTAATCCAGCGTATCCGTTAGCAATAGTCAATCGATGTCGGCAAATCACCACAATGAAGTAAATACTGAGACCGGGCGATAGCCGCATTCCGGAAATGCACAACTTTCGTTTTACTTCCGTTGACAACCATACGATTAGTAAGACACCAGTCTGACAGTACGTTAAATAAACATTGGAGATCCTCACAATTTTCTGCGATCAGCGCTAAATCGTCTGCGTACACTAAGCTTACAATAGTCTCATCATCCATTTTGACACCTTTTCCTGTTGCTGATAATTAAATGGCAAGATCATTGATAAATAAGTTGAACATGATGGCCGATAATAAACAGCCCTGTTTTAATCCGGACTAGACACTGCACACGGACACAACCCCTAACGTTAGAATACAAACTATGCATTACACAGATAAAATTGTCACTGATGCCAATATCACCAAACTAAATTGTCCGTAATAACCGTCTGTCTTTCCGGTCATACGCTTTCTGAAAAATCGACGAAGTCAATGCTACAAAGGTAGACTGTTTCTTTTTTATACACGATTCTAGTATTCTTGTAATTGACGAAAGATGATCAATTGTACTCCTTCCTTTCCGGAAACCGTTTTGGGTATTACTAATGACGTCACTAGCGGTCCCTTATTGGGATGAACTACATATATATACTCCCTAGCGTCTTATCACCCCTAATTGTGATCCGTTACGTACACTCCCTAGCGTGTCTAATCACCCCTAATTGTGATCCGCTACGTATACTCCCTAGCGTGTCTTAACAACCCTAATTGTGATCCGCTACGTACACTCCATAGCGTGTCTTATCACCCCTAATTGTGATCCGCTACGTATACTCCCTAGCGTGTCTAATCACCTCTAATTGTGATCCGCTACGTATACTCCCTAGCGTGTCTTATCACCCCTAATTGTGATCCGCTACGTATACTCCCTAGCGTGTCTTATCACCCCTAATTGTGATCCGCTACGTATACTCCCTAGCGTGTCTTATCACCCCTAATTGTGATCCGCTACGTATACTCCCTAGCGTGTCTTATCACCCCTAATTGTGATCCGCTACGTATACTCCCTAGCGTGTCTTATCACCCCTAATTGTGATCCGCTACGTATACTCCCTAGCGTGTCTTATCACCCCTAATTGTGATCCGCTACGTATACTCCCTAGCGTGTCTTATCACCCCTAATTGTGATCCGCTACGTATACTCCCTAGCGTGTCTTATCACCCCTAATTGTGATCCGCTACGTATACTCCCTAGCGTGTCTTATCACCCCTAATTGTGATCCGCTACGTATACTCCCTAGCGTGTCTTATCACCCCTAATTGTGATCCGCTACGTATACTCCCTAGCGTGTCTTATCACCCCTAATTGTGATCCGCTACGTATACTCCCTAGCGTGTCTTATCACCCCTAATTGTGATCCGCTACGTATACTCCCTAGCGTGTCTTATCACCCCTAATTGTGATCCGCTACGTATACTCCCTAGCGTGTCTTATCACCCCTAATTGTGATCCGCTACGTATACTCCCTAGCGTGTCTTATCACCCCTAATTGTGATCCGCTACGTATACTCCCTAGCGTGTCTTATCACCCCTAATTGTGATCCGCTACGTATACTCCCTAGCGTGTCTTATCACCCCTAATTGTGATCCGCTACGTATACTCCCTAGCGTGTCTTATCACCCCTAATTGTGATCCGCTACGTATACTCCCTAGCGTGTCTTATCACCCCTAATTGTGATCCGCTACGTATACTCCCTAGCGTGTCTTATCACCCCTAATTGTGATCCGCTACGTATACTCCCTAGCGTGTCTTATCACCCCTAATTGTGATCCGCTACGTATACTCCCTAGCGTGTCTTATCACCCCTAATTGTGATCCGCTACGTATACTCCCTAGCGTGTCTTATCACCCCTAATTGTGATCCGCTACGTATACTCCCTAGCGTGTCTTATCACCCCTAATTGTGATCCGCTACGTATACTCCCTAGCGTGTCTTATCACCCCTAATTGTGATCCGCTACGTATACTCCCTAGCGTGTCTTATCACCCCTAATTGTGATCCGCTACGTATACTCCCTAGCGTGTCTTATCACCCCTAATTGTGATCCGCTACGTATACTCCCTAGCGTGTCTTATCACCCCTAATTGTGATCCGCTACGTATACTCCCTAGCGTGTCTTATCACCCCTAATTGTGATCCGCTACGTATACTCCCTAGCGTGTCTTATCACCCCTAATTGTGATCCGCTACGTATACTCCCTAGCGTGTCTTATCACCCCTAATTGTGATCCGTTACGTATACTCCCTAGCGTGTCTAATCACCCCTAATTGTGATCAGCTACTCCTTAGCGTGTCTAATCACCCCTAATTGTGATCAGCTACTCCCTAGCGTGTCTGATCACCCCTAATTGTGATCCGCTACGTATACTCCATAGCGTGTCTTATCACCCCTAATTGTGATCCGCTACGTATACTCCCTAGCGTGTCTTATCACCCCTAATTGTGATACGCTACGTATACTCCCTAGCGTATCAAACACCCCTAATTGTGATCAGCTACTTCCTAGCGTGTCAAACACCCCTAATTGTGATCCGCTACGTATACTCCATAGCGTGTCTTATCACCCCTAATTGTGATCCGCTACGTATACTCCCTAGCGTGTCTAATCACCCCTAATTGTGATCAGCTACTCCTTAGTGTTTCTAATCACCCCTAATTGTGATCAGCTACTCCCTAGAGTGTCTAATCCCCCCTAATTGTGATCCGCTACGTATACTCACTAGCGTGTCTTATCACCCCTAATTGTGATACGCTACGTATACTCACTAGCGTGTCTTATCACCCCTAATTGTGACCCGCTACGTATACTCCCTAGCGTGTCTTAACACCCCTAATTGTGATCCGCTACCTATACTCCCTAGCCTATCACCCCTAATTGTGATCCGCTACGTATGCTCCCTAGCGTGTCTTATCACCCCTAATTGGGATCCGCTACGTATACTCCCTAGCGTGTCAAACACCCCTAATTGTGATCCGCTACGTATACTACCTAGAGTGTCTTATCACACCTAATTGTGATCCGCTACGTATACTCCCTATCGTGTCTTATCAACCCTAATTGTGATCCGCTACGAATACTCCCTAGCGTGTCTTATCACCCCTAAACTTCCTAGCGTGTCAAACACCCCTAATTGTGATCAGCTCCTCCCTAGCGTGTCAAACACCCCTAATTGTGATCCGCTACGTATACTCTCTAGAGCTACTCCTTAGTGTTTCTAATCACCCCTAATTGTGATCAGCTACGCCTTAGTGTTTCTAGTCACCCCTAATTGTGATCAGCTACTCCCTAGCGTGTCTAATCTCACCCCTAATTGTGATCAGCTACTCCTTAGTGTTTCTAATCACCCCTAATTGTGATCAGCTACTTCCTAGCGTGTCAAACACCCCTAATTGTGATCCGCTACGTATACCCCCTAGCGTGTCTAATCACCCCTAATTGTAAGCTACGTATACTCCCTAGCGTGTCTTATCGCCCCTAATTGTGTTCCGCTACGTATACTCCCTAGCGTGTCTATACGCTACGTATACTCCCTAGCGTATCAAACACCCCTAATTGTGATCAGCTACTCCCTAGAGTGTCTAATCCCCCCTAATTGTGATCCGCTACGTATACTCTCTAGCGTGTCTAAACCCCTAATTGTGAACCGCTACATATACTCCCTAGCGGGTCTAATCACCCCTAATTGTGATCCGCTACCTATACTCCCTAGCCTATCACCCCTAATTGTGATCCGCTACGTATAGTCCCTAGCGTGTCTTATCACCCCTAATTGTGATACGCTACGTATAATCCCTAGCGTATCAAACACCCCTAATTGTGATCAGCTACTCCCCAGAGTGTCTAATCACCCCTAATTGTGATCCGCGACGTATACTCCCTAGCGTGTCTTATCACCTGTGATCAGCTACTCCCTAGCGTGTCTGATCACCCCTAATTGTGATCCGCTACGTATACCCCCTAGCGTGTCTTATCACCCCTAATTGTGCTCCGCTACGTATACTCCCTAGCGTGTCTTCTCACCCCTAATTGTGATCCGCTACGTATACCCCCTAGCGTGTCTTATCACCCCTAATTGTGAACCGCTACGTATACTCCCTAGCGTGTCTAATCACCCCTAATTTTGATCCGTTACGTATACTCCCTAGCGTGTCAAACACCCCTAATTGTGATCAGCTCCTCCCTAGCGTGTCAAACACCCCTAATTGTGATCAGCTCCTCCCTAGCGTGTCAAACACCCCTAATTGTGATCCGCTACGTATACTACCTAGAGTGTCTTATCACACCTAATTGTGATCCGCTACGTATACTCCCCAGCGTGTCTTATCACCCCTAATTGTGATCAGCTACTCCTTAGCGTGTCTAATCACCCCTAATTGTGATCCGGTACGTATACTCCCTAGCGTGTCTTATCACCTCTAATTGTGATCCGCTACGTATACTCCCTAGCGAGTCTTATCACCCCTAATTGTGATCCGCTACCTATACTCCCTAGCGTGTCTTATCCCCCCTAATTGTGCTCCGCTACGTATACTCCCTAGCGTGTCTTATCAACCCTAATTGTGATCCGCTACTCCCTAGCGTGTCAAACACCCCTAATTGTGATCCGCTACGTATACTACCTAGAGTGTCTTATCACACCTAATTGTGATCCGCTACGTATACTCCCTAGCGTGTCTTATCACCCCTAATTGTGATCCGCTACCTATACTCCCTAGCGTGTCTTATCATCCCTAATTGTGATCCGCTACGTATACTCTCTAGCGTGTCTAAACCCCTAATTGTGAACCGCTACATATACTCCCTAGCGTGTCTAATCACCCCTAATTGTGATTAGCTACCTATCTTCCTAGAGTGTCTAATCACCCCTAATTGTGATCCGCTACGTATACTCCCTAGCGTGTCTAATCACCCCTAATTGTGATTAGCTACCTATCGAAACAAAGATTAGTGTGTCAATGTGTATC